GTGCCCCCTGGGAGTGAGGTGTGGGCGCTGCCAGGACCTGGCTCCCCCGTGCCCCCTGGGAGTGAGGTCTGGGCGCTGCCAGGACCTCCCATGCACCCCTTGGGGATGAGGGTTGGCACTGTCAGATCCTCTGCGCCCCCTGGTGGTCACAGCTCTGCTCTGTGGGCAGCCTAACTCCCATTCCCCATCTCTCTCCCTCTACTGGTGAGGCATTGACGATGCAGGAGCCCCTGCTCTTGTCTCGCCTGCTCACCCCCAGCAGTCATTGCACTGTGGAAGACAATGTACCTCCCACGCCCCCTAGTGGTGGGGGTGCTGCTCTGCCTCCCATTCCATGTCTCCCTGACTCCCAGCAGTCAGAGCTCTGCACTGGATTGCTGCAGCCCCAGCATTGAAATCCCTGCTAGCGTTGCGAAGATCAAATCCTACAAGGCCGGTCAACCCCACAGCTGCCTCTGTAGCGACCCATCAAAGAACAGCACTGAGACGGGCCTATGATGAGAATGAGTCTTTGCTGATTGCCGGAGTTAAGCTGGAGACAATGAACTAATATGTGGGAAGTCAACTCATATGCCTGGAAATAGAGATAAGAGCCAGGTCTGTAAAAACTGTGAAGATCTTACTTTGGAAGGCAACTCACACACTGTTAAATATGGTACAGAGCCAGTTAGGGAGACACATCGTATTCCTGGAAACATGGTAAAGTGCCTAGTGAAGAATGTGACTAACAGGCCTAGAAATAGGGTTGACTCATGGCCAGAAATAAGAAAGAATCAGACAGGGAGCTGATTTGTCTGTATATATGGTAAAACGCCTAGTCAGGAAGTTGACTCATATGCTAGTAAATACAGTACAATGTCAACTGAGGAACCAGCTTCAAAGGAGGGAAGCAGGAAGCTGACTCATACTCAGTTAATTATGGTTAAGGAGCTGAATGTGGTGGATACACATCTAGTTACAGAAAGGAACCAAATGAGGGCAGCAGTGCATAATTGTAATAATGTTGGCTACTGCAAGGGTAGTCGGTTGGGGGTAAAGACCTTAATGAGAGGTGACACGTCTATAGTTATAATTACAGTGAGGGCTTGAGTATAGCTGCAGCTCATATAACAATTAAGATTCAGAACAGAACCAGGGCTGCTGCTCTTACACAGGTTATATGGTACAGACCATAGACTGGAGTTGTGGCTCGTAAGCTGGTGATTATAGTGAAGAGCCAAGTTGAGGGTGCAGCCTGCACCCGAATTATTATGGTACAGGTCCCAATAGGAGCTGAGGCTCATATATTAGTAATTACGGTAGAGGATTGACTCAAAGCGGGGACCATACATTGGCCACTACAGTACTGGCCCTTGGTGCTGTGGCATGTACCCTGGTGCAAACCCCATTCGGGATGTAACCTGTCCTTTGTTAATTATGGTACAGATCCATGCTAGAGCCCATACATGGTTAATTATGGTACAGACCCGAACTGGTGCTGCAGTTTATATTACAGTAATTACAGTGTAGACCAAAATTGCACCTGTGGATCATAGATCGCTAATTATAGTACATTCCTAACTTGGGTTTGTGACTTATATACCTGTACTTACGGTAAAGACCTGGCTTCTCCATGCGGCGCCTCCCCACCAAATTACTATGAGGACCCAAACTGGGCTGTGCTCGTGGCTGCAGTTGGTATGATGATAATTACAGTAAAATGCCCAACCCTGGGGTGGGGTGCATATATCCATAATGACAGTACAAGGTGAAAATGGGGGTGGGGCACAAGCTCCTGTAATTACAGCAAACTGACAGGTGGCGGGGTGCATCTCACACCGTGCGATTTCGGTAGGGAGCCTGGTGGCTTATATCCCTGTAATTACGGTAGCGAAACCAGCTGGAGAATGAGCAATTGGTATTCCTGTAATTACAGGAATCTCAGGAGTCCGCCTGAGAAGAAACAACTCATATTTCCGTCATTACTGTAAGGAGTCGGCCACAAAAGAAGAGGCTCATGTTCCTGTAATTACGACCAGCGCTCTTTGCTTGCGGTTGCTATTCTATTCGTTACGGTACCGGCGGGACTCAGATTTAGAGATCTGCCGTCCATATACCACTCATTACGGTAAAGGGCGGAGCGCAGTTGCCTCATTCCGGCTCAGCGCTGGCGCACTGTACATACCCCCTCCCCCTTCGCCCCGGAAGTGGTTGGTCCGGTGGGGGGGGGGTCACGTGGCCCGGAAGCGGCCAGCGGGAGGTACGGTGGCCCGGGCGGGCGGAGGATGGCGGCGCTGGAGCGGTGGGTGTCGGGGGAGCTGCACGCGCTGCTGGGGCTGAGCGAGCGGCACGTGGTCGGGTTCCTGCTCGGCCTGGCCCGGCGCAGCCGCAGCCCCGACGAGCTGCTGAATCGCCTGGAGGAGACGGAGACTCTGCGCGTGAGCGAGCCGGCCGTGCGCGCCTTCGCCCAGCGCCTCTGGGAACAGGTGGGCGGGGCTAGTGGGGACGGAGGGGCGCTGAGGGGGCGGGTCCAACCGAAGTAGGCGGGGCTAGTGGAGCTGAGGGGATGGGTCACAGTGGAGGGGTGGGGCCAAGGGGGCGGGGTCACAATGGAGGGGTGGGGCCGAGGGGGCGGGG